CTCCCGAAAGAAAAGGAATAAAAATTAGTTTTTCCTCCCGCATTATTTTCTTTTTGCAAAGATTTTAATTTTCTGCAAAGATTTGAAATTGACGACTATATTGGTCAAAAGAATGGTCAAAAGCCCCACCAAAGGCTCAATTATAAGACTGCTGAACACTCGAATTCGAACCCAACAGGCGGCTGGCTGCATACGTGTCTTTGAAATTTTCTACGTACGGAATATGAATACGAGCCAGTTTTCCTTAGGAAATCCATGAAGGATCATCAGTTCCCTTAGATCAGGGGTTCTCAACTAGGAAGGGCTTTTATAGATTCAGGGAGAGAAAGCGGTCAGTCTTTTACCAGTTTTGTATTTAGTTTATGAATACAAAAATCTACTTTTATTAAATTTTTGGGTATTTATCAATATTTCCTATGCTTTTTTCTAGTTTAATTTATAAAACACATAAAATGCACTTAAGTACTAGCTGACTATTCTCTTATGGCAGTAAAAGTGATGATAAATAAATTTGACACAATAATCATCACTAAACAGTTCTTTCGGCACACTGGCGGCCAAGTGGATAGTAAATATTAACAGGTCGTCTACGGTTAGGTTTGGTTTAGTTTATTATGGATTTATTTTACCTGCCTAAGGGAAAGGATACCTTTGTGATGGACGTTCTAACGGAAACTGGCTCGTATACATATTACACATGGAGAAAACCACGAAAACGCCCATGCAGCAAGCCCGTTCGTCGGGATTTCAACTCAGGTCGGAACTACCAGAGTTCAGCGATTTTACAACCCGGTCGCTGGTGTGCCCTGTCTAGGGTTCGATTTTTCGTAGCTGGATGAGTCGAACGCATCAGATTTTCGTACTATGTCCAACATATAGCGTGAATAGCAGCCACTTTTTCTTCATCGGGTTCTTGAAAGCCTTAAAATATGCAGACCACCCGTTAACATTATCCGTCAGCCTGACTAAATATTAAACTCCCAGTTGTAAATCGAAGTTCCTCAAACGGAAATCTTCACTTCAGTATGCAAAATTAAGGATACGCTGATGTTTCTTTATTTCACAGTTTAGTGACGCTAAATGAACTTATGAAACTCACAATGCATGGAACACAAGAACGATGTTGCAGGTCAAATTGAATTTCAGCTATTTTAATGAATTCTTAGAGGAATTAAGTAACAGAAAACAAATCAAGAATGCCTCAATATTTTGTAAACTACAGGATCACGGCCTTTTCTTTTAACATACACTTAAAAAATATGGACTCCTTCAAATGATTCCCCTGAATTTGTTTAATTCCTTTCAAAGGTTAAATCATCGTTAATACTGATGTAGCAAATCAGTCTCTAGTTTCATGTCTACAGCAGTTCAAAATGCATATCTTAAACATAAATAATTATTAAATTAATCAGAATGCGGATGCTTCTTCGTCACTAAAAGTCACAGCGAAAACATGATATCGTAGGAATGTAAAGAATCGAAGCATTCCTTCGAAGTGTACTTGCACGCACAAGCACACCACTGCTGGAATTCATGGGCTCAGATTTTCGATTCAAGCAAGAACACATTGATAATTTTTAAACGTTTACCTCGGTTTCACTATGTCTCTAATCTAGCGCCCACACTAAAATGACAAACACGAAATTAGTCACCACAGTTTGGTAAATTGGAATCGTCAACTAGCCCCCCCCCCCTCAAAAAAAAATCAGGCGAAGAAGAGATGGAAAGAATTCCTCTGATGACGGCACACTGATCATTAGAAGGTCTTCAATTTAGCTTCGGGCAAGGGCACGGCTAATTTTACAACTATTCCTCCCTTTCAAATTCATCTCCAAAGGTGTATTTTATTTCACTTGATACAAATTAAGTAACAAGTGAATCCTTAATAATCTTTCCACCGAAAGAAAGTAACCTTTCCCACCAAATAAATAAATAAAATAAATAGTAATATACCGCTCTGTCAATGATCAATAAAAACATGAAGATAAATCTTTCAGAAAAGGCACCTGCACCTGTCAAAGCCAGTATTACATCAAGGACAACTAGATATCCATTCTTCTAACAGAATGCTCATTCTACACTCATTCAAATGTTTATCTGAATTGCAACACACTTAATTGCGCCACCGTATCAAGCAATATTTCGCGTAACATGCATGAATTCAGTAAAACCTAATGTCCTATTGTGAGCAATTTATCAGTTATCATCATTAAAAAAAACTTGACATAAATTGTGCAGCACACTATTCTGTAAGAAATGGAAAAAATTCGCGATTTTATACTAATCTTAATAAAGCAATGAAGTACAAGGCAAACTGGCAGCAACCGAAGCAATTTTACACGGCCCGCGAAAACATTCCAGTTATGTTTTTTGTTGTAAATATGCTGCTCATAGTTTTAGAGACATAAAGGAGATAGACTGAGCTTATGCGCGCGACTGTTGTTGAAAGATATGCGTCAAAACTAACCTAAGAACACGTGCAAGGGTACGACGACCGAATAGCAGTTTTTCCTCGCGTTTTTCAAGTTATCCATACGCTGTAGCCACTAGCGAATGTTCTATTTCTTTAATGTGCGTATAGGAGTTTAATCAGCATTAAAAAAATGGAGGGGGAGAGGCATGATGTTCGAGAACGAAGAAGGCTATGACACTTGTCAATCAGGTCAGGGATGAATCATCCTTTCAGTCCATTGTTTTCCGACCATTAGTCTTATAACTACCACAACGAGTAAGGATAGTCTTGTCAGTACAGTTTCTTGGTTAAGTGTTTGACTGCCTCAATATGATAGCTATGCCTGATCGTTGTTGTGTACCTAAATGAAATTTAATTATGCTGGCACTGAGAATTATGTGAATGTGTACAGTGTTAAATTTCGAACGGATGACTCAAAAAAGCAGTTGTGGTGCCATAAGATTCCTCTCGCGAATTTCGTTCCATCTAAAGGAATGTTGCTTGTGAAAAGGCTTTTCACGAAGTTACGATTGTGCAAGAAGATGTATTCACAGATAAGGATGGAGCGATTTTAGGAATTCCAAGAAAACGGTCAAGTATTAAAAGACGCAGCTGTCCAATAGATGTGACTGAAAACCCAGCGGTAGTCGGGAGAAGTAAAACGGAAAAAGAGAAAAAAAAAATATTCACTTTTCACAGAAAACGACAAAATTAATGGAATTGATAAATTAATAATAAATGTTAACACGAAAATTGGAGAAGCTATGAAGGAAAAAAATATGAAATTCATGGGTCTATAAAAATTCTGACATGTTTGTCATACTTTTATGTTTTTGTCCAGCTCCACGCATTCAGCAGCAGATAATAAACAGATAAAGAAATAGATAAAACAATGAATGTTGAAATATTTTATGGCAACAGACCTGTTCACTTGGATAAAGTAAAGCACACACTGAATGGAATGAATGCCAAAGATCACACTGTGGAGTGAATTTCAGAACCTTTTAACTTTCTGCAGGTATCAATGTTTGGATTTCAGATAAACAAATATAAATTTTAATTTTTTCTTTGCGTTATTAATACTAGCATTGTGTGTATATTTTTGAGAAGTGAAATTTAAAATTTAGTTAAAAATTTTTCATTTTATTAAATTTTCAGTCCAAAGGGCCTTTGGCCCTGAAGGACTATTGTTTTCGTTTTGCGATTTTGCGTTGAATCACTATAATTGTCCGTTTCACTTTTCAAACTGTTGCCACCAAATGTCCTGCATTATATTTGAAGAAATTAAATAATGAAAAATCTGCATAAATGTATAAATATTTCTCGCACTGTGATAAAACAACAGTACATAGAGCCCTCGAATTTTGAATGACGCAATCCTCTTACGAATATGGGGCAAGTGGAAGACCAAATTTGAAATTTGTCTTATTATCGATTTCATATTTTGCAAAACTTTAACGGATTTTTGAGTAACAAACTCAGCGATTTAAAAGCGAGCAATAGCAACATTCTACGGGGGGGGGGAAACCTTTTTATCTCCAGCGCGCGGAACTGTGTATCGGAAATTCTAAACATATGCTCAGTTTAAAATTATTTTGCGATATTACTATTGAAGTGAATTTTATGGTTTAAGTGCAAAGAACATGATATTTAATAAATAAAGTTAACGCACAAAACGTTTTAAAAAACGCCCCTTTGTACGTAATTTAAAATCTTGAAAACTTTCAGATTTTATTATTTTTATTTAAAAATTTTTTTTTTGCTTAAACCAGTTCTGGTCAGCTGCTTTAAGATTGTGAACTGAGCCCAATGCAATTTGAGTTCGAGACCATTTGGTATAAGGTGCAATTCCAAACGGGGTGGAAAAGGAAGGAAATCATGCTGTCTATTAACCCGTAACAGGGGACGTGCGGTCTGACGGACCGCGCCACATGTTCCTCCCATCACCCCTATTTCATGCTTTGTCCAATTAAATGGATTCTTCCCCTAGCTTCACGTTTCGTGACCTTCTTTCTGACCCCTTCTTATCGGAATGCTTTGGCAAGTGTATCTGTTGAAATTCTTCTAGAGCGGTCTGTGAGACCTCACCTACCTCTCAGTGTTACAATTTTCGGCGTAGTGAACACATGGCTCTGAAGTTAGGTCCGCGGAGATTCATTTATCCTTCTGATTCGCGTTATGCAGAACTAAAAAAAATTCTAGACGAAATTGGAAGTGATTTTAGTGAAGAAGATGACTGTGAAGAAAATTTTTGCGAAAGTACCCACTCAACAGACTCTGAATTTTCTGCAGACAGCAATGATTTCTCTGATCTAGAAACAACTAATTCCGTAAAATACTAGTATGGAAAAAATCGGTTCAAATGGTCATCCGTTGAACCAAATCGAAAAGTTAGAAGGCCAGCTCACAATATCGTAAGACTTCCTGGACTAAGACCTTACGGAAAAACTGATAATTTAGATCCCAAAAATGTATGGCAACTACTTTTTACTGAAGAACTTTTAAGCATAATTGTGAAATGGACAAATCTAAAAATTGAAAGAAGAAAAATGAAAAATATATGTGGTCCGATTAAAGGTGAAATTGACTACACCTGTGTTGATGAACTGAGAGCTCTTTTGGGTTTACTTATTTACACATCAGTCTTCAAATCCAATCATGAAGATATTGAATGTTTATTTGCCACGGATGGAACTGGCCGCGATATTTTTCGTGCAGTTATGTCAATGAAACGTTTTAAATTTTTACTTTCAAATTTGCGATTTGATAACCCAGATGATAGGGAAAGAACGAAAGAAATCTGATCCGGCAGCACTTATTTCTGAAGTGATGAGTTTATTCATTTATAACTCCCACAAAGCTTACACATTAGGCACGTGCGTCTGCATTGATGAAATGCTTGTTGGATTCAGAAGAAAGTGTCGCTTTAAAATGTATATGCCCCAAAAGCCTGTGAAATATGGATTAAAAGTTATGTGTTTGACTGATGCCCAGGAATAATTATGCTTACAATACATATCTTTATTGTGGAAAAGACTCTGATGGAATTAGCGTAGAAGAGAGTTGGAAAAAATTCAGCAAACCAAGTCAAGCTGTTCTGCGTTTGAGCAAACCAATTTTTAATACGAACAGGAATGTAACAGCAGACAATTGGTTTTCTTCCATAGAACTTACCACAGAATTGTTAAAAAACGGACTGACATACGTTGGAACTGTTAAAAAAGAAATTCCGAAAGATTTTCTTCTATGTAAGTCAAGAAAAGAGAATTCAACATTGTATGGATTTACTAAGGACATAACTTTGATTTCATTTGTTCCAAAGAAAAGGCGAGCAGTGGTTTTGATGTCATCATTGCATCATTCGATAGAAACAGACTCGGAAACACAGAAACCTGAAATAATTGGTTTTTATAACAGAACCAAAGGTGGTGTTGATGCTTTAGATGAAAAATGTTCTGTCCATTCCTGTAGTAGGAGAAGAACGCGTTGGCCTATGGCTCTTTTCTACCGGTTAGTAGATATGAGTATAGTAAACGCATACATTTTGCACCAAGGTTATAACCAAAACCCTGCTATGACCAGAATGGTGTTTTTGAAAGAATTAGTCAAACCACTACTACACACGAGAGTGAAAAATCCAAGAATAAATCGAGAATTGCGCCTGACAATAAAGCGAATTTTAGGAAAAGAAGCTGAGTCTAAAAATGTGGAGCAGTGCACAAAAGAAGCTGAGTCTAAGGATGTGAAGCAGTGCACAAAAGAAGCAAAATTAAAACCAACGGAAAACATGTCGTCTGTGCCCCCCAAGCAAGAAAAGAAAGACAGCATATTTATGTTTGGAATGCACGCAAAAGTTATGCAATGAATGTGCTAAAGAAGACGAAAACTAAATTGTTTACTATCAGAAAATCGGTGAGATACTGATATTTAAGGTACTGTCAAAATTTTTCTGTATTGTGCTACATACAATTTTCTCCGGTTAAAATTTGTTTTAAATATCAAATAATATAGATAAAATAGTTAATTCAAAACAGATGCATTCTTATTTTTAGTTTTATAGAATTTAGTGCAGCATATGATTTTCACCGAAAAATTTAAGGCTATGGGGAAATTTTATGGGAAAAATTTAATTTCACTTTAAAGTGTAAAAACATATTTTCTTTTCAGAGTAAAATGTTCAAAGAATATCTAAGTGAAATATCATGATGATATTTTAGACGATTTTTTAAAAAAAATATTATAATGCGCGGTCTCTAAGACCGCACGCCCCCTGTTATGTTCAACTTTTTCACCTCCCCTGTTACGGGTTGAAGCCCTTAACAATCCATGTTCAGGGCTTTGATAGGTCCTTAATCGCGCATATGTATTTGTGCTCATGGTTGGTATTGCTTGGGAATATAAAAATACAGGCTGCTGCTTTTCTTATATGGAAACTTTCTTCTCACTTACTCGGACTTGAGAACACTGTAGGTAAACCACGGCAACAAGAAAGCGTAATGCAATGTAAAAATTAATTAAGCCTCTCTCTGCTTAGCAGATGAAGGTCCAATTTTAAGGTGATGCACAACGGAACCTCAAATTGTTTCCACCGCCACCAAAATACGGGCTGTTGATAAGGTAAAGATCAGTTTTTAACAAAGTGCTTTGCATCACGCAAATAAAAATATTGAAAGGAATTAAAATTAAGCATATTTTTACTCATTAGCTTGGTTAAAGTAAAAAGTGCAATTTTTAATAATTAATTCAAAATCTAAAATTAAGCCAAAAAGCAACCTTACTTTAGCGTAAATTTTGAACAGAATTATCAATTTCGAAGGTGATCAAGGTTTACCAGTGGCAGAACACCAAAATCGCTAAGCGCTAATGATAGTTTGACACATGGTTAAATCTCGGCCAGCGGGCTGATCGTACGGAAGTTTTCGTGGTTTTTCCTACGGTATAACACTGATACGACTAAGTTTCCGTCAGAAAGTTCTTCCTGAAGGTAGGTAGCAATTTGCCGCGGGATCCTCGCGTGTTTTTACATAATCAAACAAGCCAAACCATACAGGATGATCAAACATGAAAAAAAATTTCTGAAGAGGCATCCGTGTCTGATCATGGAAAACAATTTGAGTTCCATTCAAAATCTACTCAAAACAGAAGTTTTTTTTTTTTTTTTTTTTTCTTCCCCCTCGCGTCATAGCGTTATAAACAATATATTCGTTACCTTCCTCGGATGTCTTAGGTTCCCCCCTTTATCTTTACCCACAGGAATAGTCTAAAAGTTTATATATAAAAAACAATTATGTGTGGAGTTGTATTGATACTTTTACAAAAGATCCGGTAATTATTCCTAAAGAACATGCCCTCCGTTGTCAACCCCTCCCTTCCCTGGGTAGCTTTATCTGATTGCAATATATTCTTTGAAAAAAGTACTTTAGCCATTTATTTTAAAATAAGGCAGCTGCGGATTCATATTTTGGAGTACAGTGTAGCAACTTTAAATCACTGTCCAAATTTTGTGCAGAGTAGTCTTTTGGGGGATTTATTTTGCTCACGAGCTGCCTACCGAATTTAATAAGTAAATAAATAAAAACTGACGATTAGCACTAGAAATACAAATCAATCAGAATAATGAATATTTTCGCCTGGCGAATGTTAATGTATGCTAATCACTCGTAATTCCAATGTTAAATTCTTGGTAAAGTTTAAACCCTGTTACCAGTAGTGACTTTAAGGCAGGGTGGTCTTCCGCTACTTTATTTTTTATTTATTTATTGGGGGGGGAAGGGTGCAATAAACATCAGGACCCACGGTGCCAAATACAGTGAGGCAAACTATAACTCGTACAACTATGCTGCCTCACATTTGTACATCTTAATCACCGTACCTGCACTTAAAACTATTAAGTAATTAATAATCAAGATCCAGATTTTGTACAAATCGAACCATCCAGACAGAGCTGGAACATGGGTGAATTCGAGAATTACTTTAATTATGTTTTTAAATTTGTCAGCTATTATTAGGGGAAATAAGCTTCGGCAAACTTAAATTAATAAAACAATATGAAAAATTGCAAGAAAAACCTGGAAATTAATGCAATGTGCATTTCGATGTTATTTCTTATTTATCAAAAAAGAATTTTTTAACATTTTCATTTGAAAGTTATAAATAATTGGCTATATTATTTTTCTGAATTTATAAAACTACGATTAAAAAATACTTTAAGAATTATAGTATAATTAATACAGTTACTTTTGTTTAATACAAATATAGCTATTTTAGTATATATAGGGGCGCGCATTTACCTTTTGGCATCAGGTGAAAAAATACCTTGGCACGGCTCTGCATACAGAAACCGAAGTACCTACCTGCCCCCCCCCCAGAAATTAAAAGTATATAGCGCTATACCACCAACATGTTTTTTTAATTTCTACAACAAAACACGATTCTTTTTATGTTATTGCCGTTTTTCTTTATTAACAATGTGCATAGTGTCTGTCAGTCACGATCTGTGTTGTAAGTCTTGTAAGAGAAGGGAGGGGGGACATTCGTCTTCTCTCCGCCAGCAGCTGAGATCTGGATCAACTCCCATTCTTCCTCAACCCTAGATTCTTCATACTGTTTACAGAACACTTCTCCGCAGCTGAAGGATACGATTTTTATTTATATTCCCCATTCAGCTTTCTGCCGTTGTTGCTTATCAAGGATATATTTATTTACGCGAGTATTTTAGGCAAATGCTATATTACAATTAACGGCAGTTGGACCGCATGTGTTTCTTTACATACAAGGTTATTTCCGGGGCTGTTTTGTTTAGTTATATAATCAAAAGTATGATCAGAGATCTATCTGTCATTTGCACGTCGATTTTCAGATCTGTTATTTGCACGGCGATAAAGGTCAATAATAAGGAATTTTCTCTTTTTAGTTTCTAGATGGAACTCATGGAAGCTCAAAACACCAAGGAAAGTTACGAGTACTACAAAACGTGATTAGCTTAACTGGAACACTTAATTTGAAATCAGAAATAACTGTTTCTATCAGTAAGGTATCAAAACCTGTTTACATACAAAACATATTAAAGGGGAATTTAGTGAAGAGACGCGAAAATGTGCTAAATTAATTAAACGGATTACATCGCATTATTTTTATCTAAAATTACACAGCTCGCCAGAGGATTAAGGTCATCGAACACTGACAGTTCGTTCAGGGTTCGATGAAACAGAATGGGTTTTCATGATTTTTTTCATCTGTAACGCGATAACGATTCAGTTTTTCTTAACAAAGTCATCCACGAAGATAGTCTTTCCTTTATACAGATAGTGTCACTGCGTGCTTTGTTAAAAACTATTAAATATTTTTTTTAAAAAAATCAGTCATTTGCTCTGTTTGAAATTTCTAACAATTTTAGTTAACATAACTAAAATGAGGCATCTAAACATACGGAAAGCAAACTCAACGTATTTTACACATAGATATATTTAATGCATAGACTCACTTTAAAATGTTTTTTAGCAGAACCCAGAGCTATAATACGCATTATCGATGGTGGAATAATGGAGCTCAGTTGTCACATACTTTAAACTCGTTACCGGAAAAAGTCTTTAGAACAAACATACAATGCAAGTCGGCATTAGTTTCAACTTCTAGAATTTGTAACTTCGTTTAAACGATCATTTTAATTTTTTAAACAATTTCCACCACACACTCATTAAATTAATCTTATGTTTCACAGCCGACACTACCTTTAAGAATCTTAACAGTCTAGGTGGCCACAACCAAACAGGAAAAATCGAGTTATCCTCCAAAAAAGAATTCTAAAAAATCCGGTTTGGATGCAACGTCTCTTCCTGTCGAGAATGGAATATCAGCTTTTTTCAAGTGCCATTAGACCGAAGAGGAAGGCAATTAAGCGCTATATCATGGGAGTATTTATTTCAAGTTAGCTTTAGCTCACAACCCCCCCCCCAATAACAATCCTTCAATCCAGTGACTTTCTCACAAATAACGTCGATGAACTCCTCAGAACTAAATAAATTTCTCTAAACGCCCATCACACTACATCAACTCCATGACATGAGAAAGTTACTGAAATATTCAAGGCCAACATTCCGGATTAGGCGGTCCACTGAACCAGTGTAGCACGAACTGTTCGAAATAAAACAAGTAACGTGAAACACAGAGCTACTAAAAATGATCCACTGAATTTCTAAAACACTATTTTTAGAAGTTCTATACACGCAATCATAAATGATACTTGAAAGGAACAGGAAACTTACCAAATCGTCCTCACACAATTAGAATGTTCTACCTTATGTTCTTACTCACATAAGAAGAATGTTCTACAATGTGCCCGTTGACACCGTTCACATTCAAGCGATAGTCAAATTTGAGTCTGTACCTTCTGTAGCAAACTATAGCAAAAAGGTTGGGGGCAGGTGCCTTCGTGGAACACGATTTAAATGAAACTGGCTCGTAATAAAGTTACACAAACACGCCCATTCGCCGCGATTTAAACACAAACTATTCTCTCGGCCAATAATCGGCCCAAACCAAGTTACTGGAATGTAGCAGAGCTCGCCGGGGCTATCTGCCAAGGGAAAAAGACGCATTAGTGGAGGATTTGCTGCGGAACAATGTGTCGTATTCATGTTAAGGGAAAATTACGAAAACCAACCATTTTAGTCAGCCTGTTCACTGGGTTCGAACCTAGGACAACTATAAGTATTTAATGGTCTTACGCCCTCGGACCCTCAATATAGGGTCCAAAAGGAGAAGTAAAAAATAGCTATGCCCAAAAATGGGACATCAAGCAACAGCTTGCGATGGCCCACAATAAAGCACAGGGTGCAATAACAGATAGCCATTTTCATTGAAAGAAAGAGCTGAAGAGAAAATTGCTTTTTGCTCACTTTCATATAAGAATTGTTCCTGATCTGGATATAATTGACATGTATGATCAGTTAAACCACTTATTGCCCTACCTCGATATGATTAAGAGTTACGATAATTAACACGTCATTTTTATGACTTATACCTGCTGAAATGAGCAAATGAAAACTCTTTAAATCTGCGCTCCTGTTTATTAGGAAAAAAGAAAAAAAAGGAAAAAGGGCGGGGGAAAACATGTTCATTTATAAGACCTCTAAATATGTTTCCATTCATTTACCAAGTTAAAGACTTAAAATTAATTAGGTACACAGCCAACA